ATTAATTTTCATTTGTTTACTAATCTAACAAATTAAACTAACGGTTAGGGAACCATCTCTCTGTCCCTCTCAGTTTGGCAAAGGTTTTTCCGCCCGGAACCGTTTTGCATGTCTGTGGGCTCTGCGAGCAGCGGAAATTGAAAGGATTTTCGGGCCCCCGGCAAAGAAGTGGGTATGACAACCTCCCACGAAATCAGTGGGTTTGCTTGCGGTGAAAGTGGGGGAAATCGGGGCCGTGGAAATGGAAAACCGTTGCCTTGACACTGCCAATTGAAAGTTTAATCATCATGATCTCTCAATTGGGCGGGACCCCGGTGGCAAAATGTCTTGGGTTCCCATATTTGTGCGGACTGAGGCGGCAACTGCAGGCTATTCATTAAAATTATGCGAAGGATTTTGGGGTTCAGGTAGCACTATTTGCCGAACCATTCTGTAATTTGGGTAGCAAGTGAGAAATAGAGTATGCATTTATATTAAAAATCATATGTACGATGCCCTGAACCTCTGTGAATATTGGCAGACTTCGTTTAATCCACGAAAAATTTCCATTCACATGGCTTTCCATCTGGGCATGTCTATCCTGTTACTCAGTACCAATCAGTATCGGGTTTTTTCCGCATCTAAAGCTTCTTCCTCCAACGCCCTTGGTTAACAAGTTGAATCATCAGATTTCTTATCAATTTCTGTTGCCATTTTCCATCCTGACCCGTGCCCCAAATGTCGTGACCCTTCCACATTATCCCGCATTCTCCTATTTCCCTTTCCCATAATTTCCCTTTGCTATTTTTACTTTTCCTTTCGCTGCCCGAGCGGAACTGATTTCGGTGTGTATTTTATGCTAATTAATTTTTCACCGAAAAAATTGGAAAATTGGGAGCACAAAAAATGTATACAAGGGAATCAGCTGGGATCAGAAATGCCAATGGGTGAGCGCCTTGGAAGGCACATGATAGTATTAAAGATGGAAACAACGCTTTAATATTTGTGTGCAGCCCTTTTCCACTCATAAAATACGGTGCATATTTCCGTATCACATGTAAAATAATATGAAACAAAGTGTTATGCCAGCTACAGTTCCATTTGATGTATATCTAATACAAGCTGACACCTCACCTGCATTTTCCCCTTGAGCTAACCCAACTCCAAAGGAAATCTTTGATAAATGCCCAAATAATTGCCCGTTCAGGCTAAGCGCGATTAGGATCTTGGACGTCAACTTTTCCGACCAGGAAAAGCGAAAATCCCGTGAAAGAAATGGGCAAACTTCTGTACACTTCACTTTGGCCCCAGTCGCGTCAAATGTCGCGCCGAAAATTATACCTTTCTCGCCAAGGGAGGGCACCTAAAAAATGGCCAAATAGCCATGCAGAGTACCATATTTTCCAACATCCGCCGTTGTTTTTGTTGTTGCCGTGGTGGCGAGGCATTTTTCCGGCTTTTCTTTGGTGCTGACGTTGATGTTGCTGGCTGTTTGGTGTTTCTTCTGTTGTTGTGCATGCAGCCACGCCCACTGAATGCCTTTTCACTGCCTCCGAGCTTTTCCCAGCCCATGCCCGACCATTTTCCCCACTTTTATGTATTCAGTCTCAGTGCGCTCACTTGACTTTAATTCTTTTTTCACACGCCCACTTCGCGGAGGAGAAGAGGCCTGGAAAAACGGGGGGAGGGAGTGGCAAGTGCAATTTCCTAACGGCTCTTAAGCCGCACAACAACGAGAACAAAACTATACGAGCGGACAAAGGGGTGGGGTGGCGAAAAACCACTGAAACATGGCCAGGCTTTGCATTCAGATGAGCATGTCAGCCGAAAGGTGCGTCCGCCCTCGCATTTTCCCCCTTGGCATGGAGTTGTAATTGCTCAACATGCCACACATTTCTACAATTTTATGTAGATTTAATAGCTTCCTGTCGCTTCCAGGCAAATGGCACTGGATCCGAATCCTTTGGCCTGTCTCGCATTTCATTTGCTTGCGTGACATTTCATTTGAGTCGCTTCGAATCGCACTGAGATTCGCAGGATATGCAGGATATGTGCCGCAAATTGCTCGGGATCGGTCACTCCCAGCTCGGCGATTTAATTGATTTAAAACAAAGTTGGCCCGGGGAACACGTGTCGGGGAATGTTGCGGCCAGTCGCGTGGAAAAGTTGGAAAAGTTGGAAAAGCCCCTGGCCGCAGAGGAAAAGCCTTTCGCGAGCCGAAAACCAACAACTTCCGACACTTGACTTGACATGTTAATTGGCTGGCGGGCGGGCCATCATCGCAAAAAACTGTTTGAGGTCATGAAAAGTAAGAGTTTCATATAATAATTATGAAAAGGCTTTAATTATTTTGGGCAAGCCGATGAAGTTCTTCCTAACGACTCTTTCCCTAATGTGAATCAATGCAATTTATATTTTTCGCCATTTCCTGCAGCTCTTCTTAATTTCGCAACTTTTCCGTGCTTTTCCCTGCTTGCAAAACAGCTTTCACACGGAGTTAACTGTGCTGCCAGAATTCTCTGCGCAAAATATGCTTAAACATCTCATTTGGCATTTCCTTTGAACATCAACATCCCTAGCTGCTGGCTCATACATCAAATATGAATTCGTTTGGCATTCCAAGCCATTTCGTGCTGCATCCAGTGCTGCTGCTATTAAGTATCTGCCAGATACTTGGCTGCACATTTTGCATCTTGCTTGTAATTGTATGCAGTTGCAGTGCAGCAAGTGCAGCAAGTGCCGCATATGAAATTGCCTCCCCCATTTTTCGTTCCCTTTTCTAAGCAGTTGATGATGGAGTGCTCGAGTGGAAAGTGGAGAGTGGAAAGTGGAGCGTTCGGAGAAGTAGTTTGCCAAGAATTGTCGCGGATTGCTGATGAGGCTGAATGCGGGATTTGGAATTCTGGATGCGATGGGTTGGGTGGACATTTGGTTGCCCAGCAATTGACGGTTGTGGCTGCAATTTTATATATTTCCCGCTTTTCTGCGGTCCTCCATCTACATCGCCCTATTCCTGTCAGCTTTCGCTTTTCGCTTTTCGAGCAGAAAGCCAAAGCAATCCAACAATCCTGCAACCCAGCAATCCGCAAACTACAAACTACGAACTGCAAAATGCAAACTGCAGCCGCATCCGTATCCGCATCTGTGGAACTGGGTATTTGTATCTGTATCTGTATCTGTATCTCGGCTTTGGCTCGGTGCGTTTGTTTATGGTTTTTTTGTGCTCGGCTTAACTCCCCCCTCAGATTGTTTGTCTTTTGCGGTTGTGAATGCATTTTTCAAACAAATTGCAAATCATTGCCTAACAATAGTTGCCTCTCCCTAGTCTTGCAGTGATTTTAGCCCACTTCACTTTATCTCTTTCGTTCTCCTCTGCGCACTAACAAATGCGGTCAAAATAATGGTGCTTGTAGATAAAGAACTAGACCATCTTCGGTATTAACAATAAAATACCTCATTAATCCATAAATAACAGAAATTAACACACAACCACACAACACAAGCACTTTTCGATTGAAGTGTGTCGAAAGTCGGTGATGGCATACAAAACACACTGTGTAAAACCTTGAACGGACAGCTTAAATACTTTAGAGAATTTAATATATTAAGACTGAGATACCAAACATTTAAACAGTGCTATTATTTTGCCCTCTTCTGTAAGCCTCTGCACTGAACATGTGTCCGTATTTCGGGTTGAGAATCTCCAACCACAATGACAGTGATTTAGTTTTGGCTGCGAGTCTATTACACTAGGTTTTTGTGGCCCAAAGAGATGGAACGGCTACAACCAGCCCAAGGTTAATGTTAAATCTAGCAACTTTTAGTTCCCGCCATTTATCAGTGGAAACGGAGTGGGTAGAAGTGGCCAGAGGGGAGTTCCACAAACTTAAATTGCATTTAAAAATCCCGAATGGGAGACACTTTTTCGAGGATCTATTTACGTTTGCGATTTGTCAAACGGAATTTCGTTCGTTCTGCGTTTTTCTTAGCTTTTCGCAAAGTTAATTTGCCGACATTTAGCCGAGAATAGGAAAAATGAAGAACAACTTTGAAAGCAAGAGTGGAAAAGGACACCCTGGGTGCCCGAGAGCAGGAATTCATTTTATTGAATTAAATTCCGAGAAATGTCCCTGGGATTTGTTTGCCTTTGTTTGCTGCTGCCGCTGCTGCTGGAGCTGCCATTTGTTTGTTTGTTTGTTTGTCTGGCAAAAGTTTTCCAACTGCGAGGAATTCGCTGACTTTGTTTAGCCCACTTAGCAGGGCAATATGTATAAATAAATACGCATAAGTATACATCATAGCAACACGGTTTCTTTCGTGTATTATTGTGTGTTTGCCTACCCTGGCAGCAGTTTTTTTCTTAGTCCTCCGGGTGTTTGAGCGTCCATTGACCCACAAAAAAGTATTTCGAAAGTCGGCACAAAAGCGTAGGAAAATGTCAAGTGGCTTGATCTAAAAACCTGCCATTACGAACTGTTGTGGCTTAAAGTTTGAGGCGCCGAAAACTCAACGTCTTTTAAGTTCGACTCTGCGGCTTATAAATTAGCTGTGTTAGCTTCCGCTCTAAAAATATTTGGCGAAATATTTATTATTTCACTCCTGAATACTGCACCTTAAAAATTTTCACTCATTTATTTATTTTTTTTTTTTGCTTTCTTTGGTTAAAAAAAATGAAAACAGTAGTATATATCGCTTAATTTGTGTTAACTTTGTTCGTCACTTTGGCTGATCAAAGTTGCAGTTGATTTATTTGGTACTTGGTAATAAATCAATTTTTTTACACAGCGTATCTTGTAAATACTTTTTGATTAATGCATTTCTTTTCCATTTTTTATTTTTTTAGTATGTTCTTAATAATTTATAAAAAAGACTGACTCTAACGAGGTTTGAATATGCCATTTGCTTGTCCAAGTTTTCACAGTGCTGCGCCAAAAAGTATGCTGCACAAATACGGATTTTGCATTCGCTTCATAGTCCCTCTTTTCATTTCTATTTTCTTGCACCAAAAAAGCGGAACTTACTTGACTGTTTTTCTTATTTTTTTGATTTCTTGGGAGATGAATGCTCCACTTTGCACGAGCACTGCTACACTGATATATCTTCTTGGCCGATACGATCGAGTCGTGTTTTGCACTTGTTCAAATCGGGAAATGTGGAAAAACGGCGAAATTGTTGCAATTAAATTACGCTTAAGACTTGTTGCACTTTGGCACGCACACTCGCCTATGGGGCCGAGAAAAACACACAAACACTTTGGCTGTTGGTCCTGGTGAAAAACGCGAGCGGAAAATCGCGAGGGGCGATTGCTGGTTTGTCGATTTTTCACTGGGAGAGAGCAACACGTTGTTGACACAAAGACCGCCTAACGAAGACTAATGATTTTCACGCACACGCGACGACTGACAACGGTAAATGGAAACGGAGTGGAAACTGGAACAGCCTGCTAACGAGGCTGCTTTCTCTCTTTTCTCCACCCCCTCTCGATTCTCAACGATTTTCGGGCAGAGCCAATTGAGTTATCAACTGTTCCGCTGCCCAAGCGTTCCTCTCCGCTTGCCGCTCTCTCCCACTCGTTTCCCTTTCAATTTCCTTCGCTTGCTGTTCTACTTTCGCTCAGCGCGTGCGCAGCTCATGAGCGCTCTCTTTCCCATTGCTCTTGCCTTCAATCAGCCGTTCAATCGGCTTTCAACCGCACTCCCTGCTCTTTAGCTTCCCGATTTGGCTCCCGTCCCATTTCCATACCATTCCATTTCGTTCCGTTCCTTTTGCTTAGCAAGGAGCAGCCAGCTTTAACGGGACCTTTGTCCTGGTATTGTTGTTTTTGCTGCTCTTGCTATTTGTTTCGTACACTTTGTCGATGTTGTTGTTGTGCGCAACAGGTTCACGCTGCCTGCCCACCCTTCGTCCTTCTGCGCCACCCACTTCTCCCCGCCTCCTTGTGTTTTCATTGCCTTTGCTTTGAGCTGCTTTGTTGTTGTTTCGCTTGTTGCCATTTTGCTTTATTTTCCCTGCTGCCCAGAAGTCCGTGTATATTTATATTTATTTGCGGATTTTTTGTACGGCATATTCAAATACTGGGGGAAAGTGAAATGGAGAGTACTGCGACTTTTTGATACCCTGTAAGAACTCTTTTGGGATTTCATCTGTGAACTTACTATATATAAGCCATTGAAAAAGTGAAAGTAAAACCTGTTTCCCAAAGTTTATGTATCTGTTTATGTATCAAATAGATTATTAAAAGAAAGAAGATATCATTAAAAGATGCCAATGTCATGTATAAAGAAATTAACAAAAACAGTTTCTGGTGGCACAAGTACTTAAGTTAACAGAAACTCCACCTATTACTTATTAGGCAAGATGTATCAGCAGCGCATATACCCTGCTCACACACACTTGACAGGTACAAAACATTCTGCAGCTTTGACTTTCACTCCTCTTTCGACTTGCTTTCTTTGCACTCGTTGTATTGCGTGCTTCTAGTTGGCAGTGTGTGTATAAATAAATTTGCATATAATTGTTTGCATGTTGAGTGCCTTTTAATTGATTTTATTGGTTTTACAAGCAGTGCGCACGACAAACAAAAGCTGAAAACTCCACATACGGCTTTAGCTCCCGTTTGCCCCGAGTATCTGTGTGCGTTCATCTGCACCTGTAATTGCACCTGCACTATCTTTATATCTTTAGCGCATATCTGAAGCGTATCTATGGCGTGGCACCAGTTATTTACTTGTAAGCACTTTGGCCCGTCAGCCAACCGAGTTCATATATGAATTAACAATGCTGCATATCTCAATCTGACTATGTTTGTCTATCTGTGTGGGGTCGGGGTCCTGTATAAATTATGCAATTTATAAGCTGCATATTTTATGGGTCGCAGGTCGTAAATTGTTATAAAGCCCCGGCCACCCGCCGTCTTTGGTAATGAATGCAAAATCGATCGACCATTTATGCAGCTTTATTACATTTGGCTTAAATCAATTTTTGCAGCATTTTAAAGCGCACAAATGGCACAAAGTAAATTAAACAAATTTACTTTAAATTATGCGATTCGATTACTTCCCGAAATTGCTCAATTTGAGCCCAACTGTTTGAGCTGGCATTGGCTCTTCTAACAAGTTGCGATTAGCAACATTTATACAAGTAAACAAAGACCAGCTATGTTGCAGGAATAATATTATTTTGCAATGCGAATTTATATAATAAGAGTATTTTTAGATGAAAGGTATTATTTTTGAATAATTTGGAACTTGTTTCCCTTTTGAAACCGAAATTGGGGAACTCAATTTCGAGCCGGCAAAGAGTAATTAAGTAGCGAAAAAAAAACAAAGAAAACACTTCGAAGCGGTTGCCACGGTTATATAATTCGTCCTTTGCCTCCCCCCCAACCTCCCAACCCCTCGTACTTCAAGCTGTCTGTAGCTAATCAAAAACTGCGATTCATTGCCGCAGAGGAAGATTCATTGAAGAAAGTGGAGAAAGTAGGGATGGAGATGGGGAAATAAAGCAAACAGCAAACGACTTCTGCCAGTGACAGCCACTAGAGGGCGCCACTCGGGGCGGGGGGCGTGGCCGAGTCCGAGAAGTTTCAGCAGCATCAGAAATTATACGGAAAAAAATGCCGACTAATTTTCTGTTTACAAAAATCAAAATAAATAAATAATATTAGCACTTTACCAAAAATTCCATTTCAAAACTAATTACAAGGCCTGCTAAAGAAAATAATAACTTGTATTAAGTTACATTTATTTCTATGATATGCCTTATTTCAGTTTCTTTCAGTGTATCCTCGAGACCTCGGACTGGAGGACGAGGACGGCAGCAATGGGTGTCAATGACTGGCCTGCCAGTTGGAAGGTGATAATAATCAGTTGGCAGTTTTAACAAGACACACGCCTTCTCCGCCCCTCCGCCCCTCCGCCCCTCCTGCCACGCCCTCCCCGCCCACACAAACATGCTCGCACATGGAAAAACTGTTGACGCTGCCGCCGTGGTAATCCATCTTCACAATGGTTGCTCCGGACACCAGTTATCTGGACCCCATCCCCCATACGAGGATGATGCCCCACACTCTATCTGCTTGGGCAGTAAATCCAGCAGTAAAGAAACTAGATACAAATATCTTTAGCCCGGCTCTCTGTGTGTGCCTTTGGTCTTTGCTGTAATTATAGTGGCAACTTATTCCCATCTCCCATCTCCCAGCACCCATCACCCAGCACCCATATTCCAGATCCCAAAGCCGAGTAGCCCAGCATCCAACTCCCAACTCCCACTACTGCCATTGACAAGTCCAAGTTTTGGTCGCAGATATCAAGTGAACTGCCCAAAACACACAGGCGCATTAAACGCACACACATACGCTGCTGCACAGGGAGAAAACACGATAGGAAAGTTGGGAAATTGCTGAAAATAAATGGTAGGATTTTTGAAAAAATAAAAATATCTACGCATATTCCAGCAGAATAAAGTACAACCCAATTAGCCAATGATATTAACGTGGTACTCGATTTTTTTCACAGTGCCAGGAGTGTGAAGAATGGCGGCGGGGGAACGTAAAGCAAGTCCCATGTGTCCTCGATGTTCGTAAAGTTGATTCATTCATTGCAGAAATTTATATGGCCCCGGACACGGACACACGGATTTTCAGCGGTTCAGCAGCAGGACTTTGATGCTGATGCGGATCCAAATGCGAATGCGAATGCGAGTGGGAGCACGAAGGCGGATGATTTGGATGCGCAGGACGGATGAGTACGACGATGATATGCCGCTGACAATGGCAATGACACCGCCAGCTAATGCCGCCCGCTCGCTGAGCGACGCCGCATGGGGCAACCTTGTTTGCCGCCCAGCCGGATGATTTATCTCGCAGCTGGCCGTAGCAGAAGTGTCCTGGCTGCCTCGCGCTTGGGGCTCGCTGTACGCTTCCAATTAGATGGTCATATGGCCATGGGCGACGCCTCAAAAAGGGGCAGTTTCACGGGGCACAACAAAGCTCCGCCAGCAATTTAAGACGCCGCTCCGTGGGAGGCGCAGTCGGGAAAGTGCCTCAACTCAATTTGGAGCAATTGGTGGCGGAAATAACATATCGATAAATGGGCCTGATTGTGGCAATATACCAGATTCAAATGCGATTCTAATAGAGTTCCGAATGGGGCATTAAAGAGCATCAAGTTTTATACCGAAAGTTGGGCTATAAAAGAAACTTTTACACAATCCATGGCACTGTATCTAAGGATTCTACTGAGTAATGCTTGATAGCTTGTTTGAATGGTTTTAAATGATAGTTTGTTTTATTTACAAGGAAATATTTTCATTTATCTAGATTGCCTATTTCAGGACATCAAGGATAGCTGCCTTAATTACTGCATTAACGTCATCATTTACATTTAGTGTAGTACAGTAGAACCCCTAGTTCTTGGTCATCGCCTTCTTGCGCTTGCGGGCGAACTTGGCGAGCTCCTCTTCGGTGGGTCGGGGTTCACTGTACTTCTGCACCCAGGCATCGGCCATCTTGAAGAAGCGCACCGGATCGTTTTGGTACTCGCCGGCCATCTCGATCTGCCAGGCGTTCTCCGGCTGGGGATCATTGATGGTGGCCAGCAGCACCTGCAGCACCTGGTCAATCCGAGTGGTGGGGATCCAATGCTCGATCTCCAGAATGGGCACGCACACTTGGCCGCGCTCATTGACATTCAGGTGGTACATCCTCGTGTTGATATGGATGCGAGGCGGCTTGAAGGGATAGTCCATTGGGAAGTCGATCTCCATTTTGTAGGCTCCCTTATCGTAAGGCGGCGCCACCGGCATCAGTAGTCCTGTCCACTTGTAGATGTTGTTCGGCTCCACCAAGAGGTTGCGGAACTGCAGGTTCTGCTTGTCCTCCAGCATCAGTGCTAATTCGCGGTTCAGCCGCTTGGGTCCTTCCATGAGAGGTTCCTCCTTTTTGGCCATGGTTCCTTCTATTTTTTGTTTGCTTGCTCTGCTGGCGGATGTAAAAGCTTGCGTGTGTTCTTGTCTGCGAGTGTGGAAGTTCTGGGCTGGATTTGGCAAACATTTTTGACGTGAGCTACTAGGGTGTAGAGCAGGGGAACACTACGAAAAAATGGAGCTGCCTGCTTAATGCTTCTTGGCTTTTTAAGACTACACTGCCACGCGAACTATTTAATTGCTGGCACAAAATATTGAAATTAAAAATTTGCCAAGGAAAAACTGCTCTTTGCTGCTCCTCATTCATGTTTTCTCTGAGTGATGCTGAATGGAAACGCTACTGCGGAGCAGGGCGCTAGTCGAGTTCCAATGCATAGCAAAAATCCTTTCACATTGACATTAATCCCCGAAATAGCTGGCGAGAGTCCGGCTGACGTCGACAGGCTCTGACAGCAGCACATTAGGATCAGACCTGGCTGTGGAAACTGAAGCGCCTGGGAGATGGAGCTAAGTCTATATGGTCGGAGCCAGGGACTGGTGGCCCCGGAGCAATGGCGATACAATGGCCGGCCCTCGAAATGAAAAGCCGTTTTATGTGCTTAGCCGCGTGGAGTTGCAAAAATCGGGCTGTTTGCCCGGCCTTATGCAGTATTTCCTTTTTTAGCCGTCACATTTTAAGCGCAGATTTCATAACCCCGGGCGGCGAATGAGTGGCATGTCTGGTCGGATAGAATGATCCTGGCTGGCGGATGATGAGATTGCCATTGACGTTTTAGTTTTCAATTAGTTGCACGAACTGAGTTGCGCTTCTACCAGGATTTATTCATTTCCCCCCTTCCCCATCCCCATCCCCATCCCGCCGGGGGAAACAGTCGTCTGTGCCACTCATGAATATGTAAAAATCAGCCAACAAACAGAGCGCCAAGGGAAGCAAAGCAGGAATATTTACCTTTTGCCTGGCAGATAACAAAAACATAAAAATTAAGTATCAAAATTTATGCCACAACGTCGCAGTGCGTGTGTGTAATTATTTATAAGCAGAGATGTCATCGCATGTAAATGAAACCAGAGCGCCAAAGGACGCTCCAAGGACCCCGAAAGGACCTCAATGGCAACGGGAATGCCAGCTAAGCATAATTATCTCTGTGTGTGTGAGCGACTGTATCTTTTGCATTTGTGCGACTTCTGGAGAGTGTGATTGATAGCCATCGCTTCCTTGGTCGAGTCCTTTGCAGTTCGGCAAGCAGTTTCAAAGGCGCAGCGAATGCCAGGCTGCGTCATCAATAGCGTTGCCCACTGAATTGGTATTCATTACTAACAGTTTGAATGCTTGCATTTTGGGAATGTATATTTTCCAGTTTTTGACAGATGTCCCACCATTAGTGGCAATGAAATTCCCATGGATAATCTCGAAGAATCACAGCTTCTGCTCCGCCAGATGGCCGCCTAATCAATAGTTTCCTGTAGTTCGCTTGCCTAGTTAGCAAATCGCTGGCTGCCAAACTCTGGGCGAAGTCGGGCCCAACATGATAGATGCCTCCTCATCCGGAGGCAGAAAAAAGGAAGTAAAATCCGGTGGCAGCCAAGGCGTCTGACAGCTCAGCGGGTTGCCATCCCCACCCACCCATCAGTGGCGTTGTCGTTGCCATACTTTTAGCATAAACAGCCGGAAGCGGAAATGTTGATGACGCTCGTCGCTCGTCGTTCAGCGCTCGCAGTTTGCTCCGGGCTCGGCTTCTGGCTCTGGCTCTGGCTCTGGATCTGGATACACTCATATATCCATCTCGCTGTATGTGCGGCTCTGTCAGCCCCGAAAAACCCTACCCCGCACTGACATCCACCGCATTTGTGTCATTTGTTTAGCTGTCATTGCCGGCGTATTGCCGCTGACAGCTAACCGTTGGCTTGGAGCGATGGCGCCAAGGATTCAAATGGGGCGGTGGAAGGAGTGCTGGGTGTCCTGGAACTTTCCCGTTTCTATGAGGAATCACCCAGAAATTAGCCGTCGACGCATTAAATCCAAACTGATCCGATTTTCTATTAGCAATTGCCTGAGATTCTTCCTTTGACTCCTTCCCCTTCTGTATCCTTATACGTGTATGCCTTTGTTTGGGTATTTTCGGTTTCATCTCAATTCGATTGCGAATGTGGCAGCTGTCGCGCCGTTTTCTCTCAGTGTGCCCGCGTGTTGGTTTGTGCACTTTAATCTTTTTATCGTACTTTAACACTTTGGCTTCGGTTTCACGCCTTTTGTTCTGCGCCCTTTGGGTCCTTCATTAGCCCAGGAGTGGAAGAAAAAAGCAAGGCAGGACCAGCAACAACGCGCGAAAAATGTCGCGTGCTGATTTGTCCTTTTTTCCCTGTTGACTTCCGGCGCCTGTCATCGACCTTTTCGGGCCCTTTTGTCAGGACCTGGGTATCGCTTACGGCCTCGAGGGGGATTAGAGCGGGATGGCCGGAGATATGGCTAGAGATAGGGATAGCGAGCCTGATATATGGCGCGATTAACGTGAAAGGTTCCTAATTGATTTGGACTGCAGGACAACGGACAACGGACGGGTTTATCGACAAGTGTCAGCCGCCCAATTCGCCGGTTGACATTTGGCCAAAAGCGATTGGCGCTCGTGCTGCTTAAAGCTGAAATTAATTAAGCGGGGTTTATCAAAAAGCAAATGGGTGGCTGCTCCTGATACACACTCACGACATTTCCACTCGTGCAACAGATTATTTATGCTTTCAGTGGATGCACGACACGGTCGTCATCGTTGCCATGGCATAATATTAAATTACGCCAAGTAAATAAAAGCCAGCACTCGAACACAAGCGCACGCATACACGCCTACACACACACACACACACACATGCAGGGACCTAGAGTCAACCGCACACTCAAAGCCACACGGCTCCTAGAAGGATCCTGGGATCCCGAGATGCCGGCATAGGCACAGGATACAGTTTCAGGATACAGATGCATAAATGGCAGCTGAAGCTCCGCGCTCCATTAATGTGTAATATCCTCAAGCATGGAATAAAATTTTCCTTCTTCTTCGCTTAAACAGCATTCTTAAAGCATATTTCCAAGAATTAGGCATGAGCAAGCTCTTATCTAAAAGTATGAAACAAATATGAAAATGTGAGTACCAAATATCTAGGATTGAATTGATCTCCATGAAGTTGGCTCAACTTTTAGCCGAGAAACTGCCCTAAAACGTATAAATCAGGCTTTAACTTAATGATACACCCCGTTGCGAGCACTTCTGCTCCACTTGCCTGGTTTCCAGTGGGTTTTAATTTGGTGCCCGCTTTGTCATAAATAATGCAAGGCAAACGCTGCAACAGCCACCCAAAAATCGCCCAGCAATTCAAACCCCATTGCGGCGCCCATTCCTCAACCCTTTTTCGCAGTGCTACCAATCCTTGTTGCCATCCTCTGCTCGCGGGCATTACTCAATATGCAGTTAGCTGTGCTCAAACGTGCTGCAATTACGGCTCCAACCTGAGCCCTGCCCCACCGCCACGCCCCCCTTGGAAACGGCTTTTTGCAGTGAGCAACGTCATTTGTACTTAATGACTTTTCAACGTCGTGTGCGTGCAACGTCATTTTCTTGAGGCTTTTTCGGCTGCTGCCGCTTGGCTCGTTTGTTGTTCACTCATTTGCTTATTGCACGGAATGGCGCAAGGGGATTCCCCATAAATAAAACACGCACGCAGCCCACGGGCCGTATACGTGATGCGTGGCAAGCACCTGTTGCAGCCGCAGCTTTGCATCTCGTTTAATTGCAATACAAGTCTGGGCAGAATATGTGCCCAAAAATATATTAAATCTGTACGAAACGGTGGAAGCTTTAGCTCGCAAAACATCAAAGTAAATCCTAAATGGAAAATGGCCAAGACATCAAATAAATCGCTGCTTATGCAGTGCGGCCTGCTCGTCGGGAAATGTTTAATAAAACACATCTGCCTCTTGAGTGGCAAAATTATTATATACGGCCACGATGGGATTTTCTGGGTTCGAAAATGATTTAAAATATTTCTTTTGACAGCTCGCACAAAGTTTAATCGTGGCATGGGCTTGAAGGCCCATTAATAACGATACAAAAAGAACAGGGCAGGATAAAAATGAAATTCAATAAGCGTGATTTGGATAGCCAAACGAACTGAACTAAGCCAAAGCGGCAGAGGAACCGCATCGAATGGTGGCCAAGGAATCATCCGAGCAACTGGTCAAAGCATTCAACCAACCCTCTGTGATTTTATGGATGGGGGAGGTGGGAAAAATATTTAAGGCGTTGGCCCGGGGATGCCAATAAATCAAAGGGCCGAAAAAAGGTTGCCCCCGAACAATGCGCGGCATCTGTAGAATTCTCTCTTGGACCAAAACACACGCCGACCAAAAAGGATGCCCATCAATGAGTGTATTGTGTGTGTTGTGTGTTGTGTGTTGTTTGTTGTTTGTTGCTCGTTATTTGTTGTCCCCCCGTGTTGTTGTTGTTAGGCACACTTTGTCGGGCGGCTGGGTGGCTCTAACTTTTGAGCAATTAAGTTCTCAACTTCTTGAATTCATCAGGAATGCGCAACTTTAAGTCGATATATGAAGGGCCGTTTGGAAGTTCGATAAATACTCCCTTGGCCAGCAACTTGCTGGGAATTTAATCTATTGGGTGGAGTGAAACATCAGGCGTTATTTGAGCTATTTTCCATTAGTTCAGTGTTTATTATTAGCATTAAATTAGTGCAAGCTACGTTTTGCTCTCCAGAACATAAAAAAATAACAAAAGTGTTTAACAATTTGCAAAGCAATCAAATAGTTTGCTAACTTGAGCAAATTCAGCTGTTACAACTTGTATTTTTCTCTAAAATCTAAGCCCATTATTCATTTTCGGTAGCATTATGTAACATGAAGAGATTTTCGTTAGTCTGTGAAAAACATGTTCATAATTGGTTTTACACACTCTTACTTATGTTGCATTTCCCTGCCACGTGCACGGCAAAAGAAGTAAACAAAGTTTTCCACCCAGTTTAATAAAATTAATGACCTTCTCTCGCTCCGAAAAGTGTCGGAATTTCACACACCTCCACCGCTGACCAATGCAACTGGGTAGTTGGCAGCTTTTGGGCGAATCTGGAAACAGAGATGAGTCCTGG